CACGTGGCAAGACCGCGTCACTCCAAAAGGAGCCACGCTGGCGATCCGCGTGGGTGCGATCCGACGGCCCAGATCAATCACGCGATCGGACGGCCCAGATTCAATCGCACGGACGGCCCAGATTCAATCAAAAACGAACGGCCCAGATTAAAACAAAATGAACGGCTGTGATCAAAAGGCAAGCGGTTATAAATAGAACCTCCACACCAGACCACAAACCCTAGCCGCCAGCCGCTCGCCGGAGAAGACGAACCAGAGGCCGACCGCCGCCACCCGCCGCCACTCGCCGCCGCACCGGGGAAATTTCCGACCGCCGATCGAGGTAAATTTCATACCCCCGACTCGTTTTTCCCCACTGATTCCTCCTATGGCCAAATCGAAGCCGAAATCCCGGCCAAACGGCCGGAATACGCGGCCGAAGCCCAGCGGCACCGCCGCGCCCCCTCTCGGTTTTTGCCTCCGACGAGGCCCTTCCCGGCCTTTGTTCGATGCAATTTTTATATCACCGTGATCACCATTCTTTTCTCTACAGGTTGACCGAAGCCAAATCACCAAAACACGAACTTCGCCGGAGAGTCGCCGTACCCGAGAGCGCCGCCGCCGGTAAGCTCCGTTTTTCCGTGATTTTTTGGCCCCCCGAGGGCCCTAGGGTTGTTTTCTGACAAGGACCAATGCGAGTGTGGCCGAATTCGGCCAAAAACGGCCGAAAACAGTCAACCCGAGGCGACTCGCCGCCGCCCGCGGCGGCGCCGTCGCCGGAGCACGGCGGAGCCGCCGTGCCGGAGTTGCGATTTGGGCCGAAAGAGGCCCTGGGCCTAATTTGGATTTTTTTTGGAACCCGTGCAGGTACTGTGAGCGTGTTTCAGTTCCCCGGGAAAAATTCAGGGGAAAATTAGGGACAGCCTGCAGGCGCACTGTGAATCGTATTCGGATCCCGAAAACAGGTAAGGACCCCTCACCTTATTTCCTATCACGGTATTAAAGTTCAAAATGATAAAACGGTATTTCTTGAATTAATGCATGTGTGAAATTGCTTAAGGTAGCTAATGGAGCCCGAGTCTAGTGTGATTGGTGGTTTACTGTTATTTGGCCTGTTTACAGCTTTAAATGCAAATGAGGTTTGATGTGTTCATTTTACAGATTTGTGTGCATGTACTACGTTTTTATTAATTATGGGTTGAATGACTGAAAAACTGATACTGTATGTTGTCTGTTTGGTATGAATTACGATTTGCTTGTTTAAATGTGAATTGATGATGCTGATTGAGGAAAAGGAAAAATGAAAGATTGTGTAAACTGATAATTGTATTATGGGGGTCAGCCTGACTAGATATCCTGGGAGATGGTGGACGGACCGGATCCGTAGGGAACCCTACCGGGATTGTGGTCTCACATGCCGGACGGGGTATGGAGATCTTATGGTTTTGGCGCCCATACCGGACGGGGTATGGGGACGGCCCGTTTCACCCTCATACCGGACGGGGTATTGAGGTTTATGGTTTTGGCGCCCATACCGGACGGGGTATGGGGACGGCCCGTTTCACCCTCATACCGGACGGAGTATTGAGGTTCATGGTTTTGGCGCCCATACCGGACGGGGTATGGGGACGGCCCTGGAAACTGATTATGAATGTTAAAGGTTAACGGGTAGCGGAACCCCTATGGACCCCCACGGATACTAGTAGGCTGGTAAATGAGAAAAAGATATGTTGTACAATGATTGAATTACAAGAGGCGTGATAAGTGTTATGTTTTACAGCTTAGATTATTCAATGATTATGATAATGTTATTGTTTTTCTCATATTGTTTTCATAAATTCCACCAAGGTAAGTGGATGGTCAAAGTTTTATTATTGATAAAAGGTTTTGTTGTTAATAAACGAGTTTATTGTAAATTATGCTCCATTGGTCTTTTTGTGGTTTTTTACCCACCTTTATCTCCGTGACGGTGAGATATCGTGATGTTCTTACTGGGCTAGTGTAGCTCACTCCTTAATTAACCATTTCAGATCAGGAAGACATGGTTCCCGAGCCCGTTCCGCAGGAGGACGACGAAGGGGATGCCTAGAGACTCTGTAGTCATACGCATAGTTTTATTTTCGAGTTTCTTTCTTAGTTAGTTTAATCTTTTATATTTTAAGTACGTTTTTGGTTTTTCGTGTAAGGGATGTTAAATGAAATTTTGATCTCGCTTCCGCATTCGATATATTTAAATACTCATTTCATTTTAATAT